GGCTGCGGCGGATCGAGATCTGAGGGAGGGAGATGGTTGGGGGCGATGGCTGTGGGTGCGTAGGAGCAAAGCTCTAGGGTTCGTGCAAGAGGGGGAGAGGCTGGATGAATGGATCGATGGACGGATGTTTACTGCGGTGGACTGGATGAATGGATCAATGGATGGATGTTTGCCATGTCACTGATCTATGCCACAACAGATTCGAGCAATCATGATTCAGCTTGTGTAATTTTGTTATTTCCTTCTGCTTTCATATATTTTGTACCCTCTTATTTTGAGTAAACATTCAACATATTACCCGCTTATAGTTTATTCAAATGGCCCAATATTTTGCACATGTGTGTATCTTGGGACGACAAACAATGTTGATTTGAGGGTTTTCATTTTCTTTGAACAAAAACCATTTTTCAATTTTCGGAGTGCCAAATCGGGTTTTTTTGTGAAGAACCTGCCATATATTTGCTGAAAAATTGGACAAAATCCATTTTCCAAAATACTAGGTCATATTTAATGTATAATTGACCAAACGGTTGGGTGTCAAAAGATTCTAGCCACCTCTTGTGAAAAAGACAAATTTTCACCGATTCAGTAGGAAGCGGGTCAAATTTGAACTGCAGCTGCCTCATAGTTTTCTCTTTATTTTTTTCAAAACTCATTTCTAGCTACCTAAGTATCTATTTAATCAGAGAAACACCAAAAAGATTCCAAGATTCAGCCACTAGCTAGGAACTGTCATGCCCGCTGTTTTGACCGCATTTTGAAACGGGCTTAAAAAATTCAAAAAAATCAAAAAAAAAAAATAGAAAAACTTCGCATTGTCTCATTAAATGTGACCAAGTTACCAGGTAAAATAATAAACTTGTAATACGGCAATTATTTAAAGAATTTGTTCTCAGAAATGAGCCATCAAATATGAAGATGCATGGCTTTTCAACCCAAATGCTCAATCTTATGGCCACATTCATGGCATAGTTTGTTCAAATGATCTCATATTGTGCGCAAGGGTGCATATTGGAATGACAAACAATGTTGCCTAAGGAAGTTTTCATTTTCTTTGGACGGAAATTTCATTTTCCATTTTTCGAGTGCCCAAAATGAGTTTATTTGTAAAGGACCTACCATATATTTGTTTTAAAATTGTACCAAATAAATTTTCTAAAATACCAGGACATATTTAATGCACAGTTGACCAAATAGTTGGGTGTAAAAAGTTTTGATCCACCTCTCGTGAAAAAGACAAATTCTCGCCGATTTAGTTGGAAGCAGGTGAAATTTGAACTGCAGCTGCCTCATAGTTTGCTCTTTATTTTTCCAAAAATCATTTCTAGGTACATAAGTATATATTTAATCATAGAAACACAAAAAGTTTTTCAAGATTCAACCACTAGCTAGGAACGGTCATGCCCGCCGTTTTGACCGCATTTTGAAACGGGCATAAAAAATTCAAAAAAAATAAAAATTTGAAAAACCTTTGCATTGTGTCATTACATGTTACCAAGTTACCAGCAAAAATTATAAACTTGTAATGCGACGATTATTTTAAAAAAGTGTTCTCAGAAACGAGCTATCGAGTGTGAAGATGCATGGCTTTCAACCCAAATGTTCAATCTTATGGCCACATTCATGGCATAGTTTGTTCAAATGATCTCATATTGTGCACAAGCGTGCATATTGGAATGACAAACAATGTTGCCTAAGGAAGTTTTCATTTTCTTTGGACAGAAATTTCATTTTCCATTTTTCGAGTGCCCAAAATGAGTTCTTTTGTAAAGGACCTACCATATATTTGTTTCAAAATTGTACCAAATCAATTTTCTAAAATACTAGAACATATTTAATGCACAATTGATCAAATGGTTGGGTGTAAAAAGTTTTGATCCACCGCTCGTGAAAAAGACAAATTTCCGCCGATTTAATTGGAAGCGGGTCAAATTTGAACTGCAGTTGTCTCATAGTTTGCTCTTTATTTCTTCCAAAAATCATTTCTAGGTACATAAGTATCTATTTATTCATAGAAACACAAAAAGTTTTCCAAGATTCAACCACTATCTAGGAACAGTCATGCCCGCCATTTTGACTGCATTTTGAAACGGGCATAAAAAATTCAAAAAAAACAAAAAAATTGGATAACCTTCGCATTGTGTCACTATATGTGGTCAAGTTATGAGCAAAAATTATAAACTTGTAACACGATAATTATTTTAAAAAAGTGTTCTCAAAAACGAGCTATCAAGTGTGTAGATGCATGGCTTTCAACCCGAATGCTCAATCTTATGGCCACATTCATGACATAGTTTGTTCAAATGATATTATATTGTGCATAAGGGTGCATCTTGGAATGGCAAACAATGTTGCCTAAGGAAGTTTACATTTTCTTTGGACGAAAAATTCATTTTCCATTTTCTGAGTGCCCAAAATGAATTTTTTTGTGAAGGACCTACCATATATTTGTTGCAAAATTGGACCAATTCAATTTTCTAAAATACTAGGACATATTTAATGCACAATTGACAAAAATTTTGGGTGTCAAAAGTTTTGATCCACCTCTCGTGAAAAAGACAAATTTCCGCCGATTCAGTTGGAAGCAGGTCAAATTTGAACTACAGTTGCCTTATAGTTTGCTATTTATTTTTTCCAAAAATTATTTCTAGTTACATAAGTACCTATTTAATCAAAAATACATGGTTTGGTGGCGATACATCGAGGTTTGGACGGTGGCCGAGGGCCCCAACTCTAGAGCGCGTAAACACGCATGCCCGTCGCGTGGTCACCGCGTGACCGTGGCGTTGCCATGCGTTCTGGGTGGCCTAGGCATGTCTAGTGGGTTGGGCACTCCCCAAGTAGGTGCTAGGAAGAAAATTACAACATAAGATTCTCACGAGGAGACCGATCTATGCTCAAACATGAATTAGCAGCCAAGTGTTTGATTAGCGGTACGAGAAATGCACATGTCTAATGGGCGTGAGTTTTGGCTAAGGATGATCAGTTACTAAGAAGACTGTCTTCACAAATTTCCAGCTCAAAAGGAGGAGCCTAGGTGGTACTTGCTTTGCAAAGTACCACACTGGACATAAATACGAATGTTAAAGCTGGGCTTAAAATAATGAATGGATTGAGCTAAAATTTGGTGGAGGATGGTTATTTTGGTAGAGGAAAGCACTGTACAAAATGGATACCATTTGGACATGCCAAAGTAGTACTTCCTTCACAATGCTCTTCGCTGGATAGAAACTTCGGAAAATTAGTGAGAGAAATTAGCTAAATGAAATGAGCTCAAATTTGGTGTAGGTAAGTTACATAGGCATATAGAATATGTGGAAAAAATTCAACTTATTAGGATATTGCATAGCTAGTACTTCTTTCACAAAGGTTCTAGGTGGACAAAAACTTTGTAAATTTGCCGAGGAAGATTTACTGGGAAAATGGAGCTGAATTTTGTCATGAGGCAATGATTTGAATAGGAAAGAGTGCCCAAAAATTTTGAGGGCAACCAAGAATATATAAATAGCACTTCCTTCACAATGCTCTTCTCTGGACAGAAACTTCGAAAAATTAGTGAGAGAAATTTGCTAAATGAACTGAGCTCAAATTTGGTGTAGGTAAGTTACATAGGCATATAGAATATGTGGAAAAATTCAACTCATTAGGATATGCATAGCTAGTACTTCTTTCACAAAGGTTCTAGGTGGACAAAAACTTTGGAAATTTGCGAGGAAGATTTACTGAGCAAATGGAGCTGAATTTTGTCATGAGGCAATGATTTTGATAGGAAATAGTGCCCAAAAAATTTGAGGGCAATCAAGAATATAGAAATAGCATTTCCTTCACAAAGTGTTGTTCTGAACAGAATAGAAAAAGAATATTGTTGAATTATTTTTGAACTAGGCAAGGAAGGTTTTTTACATATTTAACGAAGATATGACCCAAAGAATTTATGAGATTTTTTTGGGAATTTTGTGAATGGCAGAAATATAGGTTGCTTCACAACCTAGGGTAAAAATTGACACATGGACATGACACATAGGCAAAACTCATGAGGTGGCGCCTAGTCATAGCAACCCACCACAATTTACAGGGTTATGACCATCTATATTGGTCATGATCAGCTAGAAATAAGGCAGTGAACCAGTGCTATCTGCTTTATGACCATTTCGTGTAAGAAAATTGCGACCTTTCTGACTAAAATGGTCGTTATTGTTCAGCGTTTGGAGCCCCCCAAACAACTTTTGACCAATTGGTCTCAAATGGTCATAGATCTATGACCAATTCTTACAGGGTCACTGGCAGAAGGTCACTAGTTGACATATTTTTTATAGTGACCAGCTCAAGAACACCTCACCTCCTGAGGCTTGTTCATCCTTTGTACTAGTTCATCCATAGCCCCTCGAGGCAATCCACCACACCACATTGAAGTAGGGTGTTACATCACCATGATGGCCCGAATCAGTATATATCTCTGTATCTTTGTGTCTCTGTGAGCTCTTCATGCTAGGCTAGGGAGGATCGCGAGTAGGCAGGCTGGGCCGGTTGAGATCTCCATACGCACCCCAGTGTTCGAACCTCTCACGGGTTGCCGGATCCCGAAATCCGACAAAGTCTAGGTGCCCCCGTATCCAGAACGCCGACACACACACAAGGCTAGCAAGTTAACATCATTTTAAAACCATTTAAATTATCTATATTATTCACATGAATGCAAAAATGCTTAGCTTAATAGCGTGAGGGCATAACAAGCCGGCATGTTCAAAGAAGCCCCACTCACACACAAACTTCGTCATGTCTGCATCAATCGTAACTAAGAAAACAACTTTGCACCAACTGTTCCTTCTTTCAGCATCGACATGGCTCACAATGTGGCTCACAATGTATTTCCTCTGATGTTCAACCTCCTCCGTGACATGAAGACCCAGCCTTGTACAAAGACTCATCAAATTGCTCAAACATTGTTTGTGTGTACACCTTGCTTGCATGGCATTCCAAAGGCCAATTCCCCTTCAAGACTACACCTGCCTCCATTTTAGGAAACATAGTTTTGTTAGTGCAAATAATATCAATCAAATAATACCTCCTAGAAATGCAACGAATATAAAATAATTTAAATTAAATATCAACTTACAATTGCAGTGCGTTTTTCTTGATAGCTTTCCTCTGAGTCTCTATCAAATAATATCTTCTCGAATTGCTTAATAAATAGATGCATAGGACATCCCACGGTACATACCCCTTCAACAAATGATTTGCACTTTCACTTCCTCGTGTGCTTGTCATATTTGCACAGAACACACCCATGAAGTACGGTTTGGCCCACTTATGCCTAACCTCATATATTTGTGTTAGGAATGGATGTTTTTGCAAACCGTATTTTGCTAACATTTCAGCCCACCCGTTCTCAAATTCCTCTTTAGTTAAAACATGATGCACCAACATTTGGAAGTCTTTCTTGAACTCCGATTTCTTTCCATAAAGGACACCCAACCTTTCTTTCGCCTTCTTTAACACGTGCCACTTGCACCAACGGTGAGTTGTATTCGGTAGTTCATCAATGATAGCTAGCTCCATTGCGCGGACCTTGTCTGAAACATTATGATGCTGGATCCCTCCCTCTGTTCTGACAATCTCGCAAACCCTAGATGATCCTGACGAACAGTTTGATTGAGCAGGACAAACAGCATGATCCCTTGCCGCCGTCAAGGAACAGACAGGAATCAAACCAGTTGTTGATCTAAAAATAGTGGAAACAAATAGGATTAGTACTAAGTTGGCGATACAAAACTTGCAGAAGGTTTCAAACAAACGAACCTTAGATTTCCGTCCATGTCGACGAACTCCATACCGCAAGGTTTCAAAATGATGGATCTGAAACGATGAGAGACGACCTGGTAGCTTTCTGTTCTGAGGTCCACTATGACGGCCTGGCTGGCTAATGTCGACTATGTTTATGCTGGTCCTACCCCACTTGCTCCGCCAGAACAATTTGTGCCATGTAAAGGGACCTGTTCTGAGATCGGCAGCTATGTAAGAAATCTGGAACAGGTGCTAGAGGATTCGGTGGTGTAGCACACTGGAAACCGGACCGTAACCTCTCCCAACAGCACCTTCATCCGCGCAGTATAAGTTCCACGTATTGCTCCATATTCCAGGCTGTCGCTCATTGGCCCAATCATGAAGCAGTCAGCACACGGAGTGGATAAAGTGTGCCAATGCCGTGCCGCCGTGCACTGAAAGTGCCCTCCGGGGGTCGTGGGTGGTATCGATCCACAGCAAGCCTGGAACCGTTTGCGGAGGCATCGGATTACACGTACACTTACCAAACGTGCGTAACGTTTTTGGTTTCCACCGTAAACAGTTAACGGGGCATTTTGCCCAAAACAAACACCTCCAGTGGAATTACAATGATGGAAGCCCTGGAGCTAGGCTTTGCCGATTTAGGCCTCAATCAAGACTGGCAGTCCAGGTTACAAGCCTAGGCAGTATGTTAGTACCTCCTAAGGCCAGCCTTGAAAGTCAACAAGTGCTAATACATGGAAGTTATAACAGATTGGTTCAACATATTTTCATTGAGATTATCATACCCTCCTTACCCTTCTGCATGTTAGATGTTCCCATACGGACTACATAGCACCTAGACTACCTAATAAACTGATTCTAGGTCTCACCGCAGATGGCCTAATGGCTCAACAGCAGTTCTGAAGAGAAGAATGTGGACCTTGTCAACAGAGAAGTATAAGAAACCTCCCAATGTGTGAGTAACATAGGAGCCAAAGCTTGTCCCAACAATGCAGTGCCAAGCAGGGCCGTATGACGTGTCAAATTCCTGCAGCAAGCAAATATTTACCTATCAAAATAGTACTTAAGGCTGCACAAAACGGTGCAGCTAAACATATGAAGACTGCTTTGTGACACATCCAGAGTTCCAGACATATCAGACAAATGAAAGAAATGGCCAAGCGAGAACAAAATAAACAAGGGAAAATATATTAAGAAAGTGGGGAATATCAACTTCATACAACATATGTCAAAAATAAATATTGCTAGCTACCATAGCTAGCCAACTTATGTTGTTCTACAAAGGTTTGAACATTTTAAAACTCTTCACAGAAACAACTATGGAGTAGCATTTCTAGTACGAGGGCTAAAAGGTAGTTCTTCCTGTTTTGGGAACAAATGGCAGTCTCACTTCCTTCAGCCTGTTCCGTTCAAATAGTAGTTATATAGTTTGAATTGACATTTTGCTGACTAGCTTCCAATCACCCTTTGCCTCTTCTCTTACAGAACACCTCTTCTACTAGAACGGAGGCGCCCAGTATCCTACATGCTCTCTGTCTGTGGAACAAGACCAGGACTACACAACAATGGGTTACCACCTGACTACCTTTGCACTGGCGTTCCTTGTGCTGCATACCAGATAGCCACTTTGGTGCATTTTTTCTTGCCAACACAACACTGATAAAACTGGGCAAACAGAAGACTTAGGCTTAAACCAGAAACACCCATATACTCAATCCATGCCTCCTAACTTTGTTGCAAGTCTAACCAACTGGCAACTGAACCAACATGTGTAGCACTAATCTCATACATTTAAATTGTGGAACATACAACTCAAAAGAAAAGGTGGAACATAAGCAACAGCACGTCGGAGCATCTCCCATAGATCCCGTATCACTAAAAAAAATTGGCGGAACCCATATAATCTGCCCAACATCCCCTGCATCTAGGGGGAAATGACCCTTCCTGTAAACCTTCCCATAAAAGTGCCACATCAGCGCGCCGTCACCCATGACCACCGTCCGCTGCTGCCACGCCACCTCCAAAAACCACTTTTACTGGGAGTTCTTTTATGGGAACTGTTGGAGATGCACTACGTTTCTAGGTTCCTAAGAGCATCTCTAGCAAATCCGGCGAAAGCTTGCCGGCCCGTAAAAATTCCGGCCGTTTTGCAGGATCTCCATTTTATTGGCCCGAACAGATCCGCTAAACGAAGCCCAGCCTGTAATTTTTTTACAGGTGGCCCGCATATCCATTCCTCCGATGCTATATGTACGGCGTCGGCCAGGCTTTAGGGTTAGCAAACCCTATCCCCTTGGCCGCAATCCGCCCACCCTGCTGCTAGCCCTCCCCAACTCCGGCGACAAATCCCGCCACATCTCCTCCTTTTTTTTCTTCTCCTCCATGGCCGGTGGTGCTGGTGGGCGTGGCGGCCGTGGCAGGTCGCCTCTGCGCAAGCTCACACTGCATGACGCGGAGGCTGGCTGCTCTAGCCGGCCCGCCGTCGAACCATGGCCCCGAAGCAAGCGTGCGACTATGGCCGGCTCTCCCGGAGCGGCGGGCAGAGCCCTTGGGCCGGCTTCCACGAGCTCCATGACTAACTCTTCCCGCATTTGCAGAGGTGTCGGGAGGCCGATGCGGACATTGTCGCTGCGGAGAAAGCTTTGTCGGCCGGAGAAGAAGGTACGGTGTCATCGACCGTCTCTGACGCCAAGGAGGAGCACGACCTCGCCAACGCGCTCCGCAAGTCCGCCACCAAGCTCTACCTCGGCATCGACCAGTGACCGTCGACTTTTTGTAATTTGTAGCGCGAAGTTTGTATTTCCTATGTATGCACTGTGGTTGTGATGAACTATTTTCTAGCGTGAAGATGTTTCTAAATATGCAGTATGAGATTTACGTGATCAGTTCCGCCGGGGCCTTCACGTTCGTGCAAAATTGTTTTTGTAGCAACCCTAAAACGATTTTGCAGTATCGGATTTTAGCGGATCTGCTAGAGATGTTCTAAATCTGAATCACTTACATATCTACTTCTACTACCACTGCATGACTGCATTTTCTCTGCACGAGGTCCACAACTCCAAACGATTTCAACAATGTGCTCGCGGCACAAGTGCACAAGCATTTCACCCTAGCTACCAAAGAGCAGTAACCGGTTGAAGTTTTTATCACGAGATGGATGCTGTACCTTCTTGAGCGCGAGGGCTAGACGCTTGCCGTCGGCCCGCGGTGTTGCAGAGACAGCATCATAGGCGAGCCGGATCGCGCGCTGCTGCAGCACCACCGGCATGTCGGCCGCCCGGACCCGCACCGAGACCTTCCTCTCCTCCTTCCCCTTTCCGTCGCCCTCTTTCACTTCCCTCTCCACCAACGCTTTGGCCTCAACGAGGTTCTGGTTCTTAGGGCCCGGCTCCCGCTCCAGTTTCCCGGTCTCCGGGTGAGTGGTAGAAGGAGGGAGGGCGGGCGCGGCGTTGAGCTTGAGCTTGGTGCGGCGGATGGGCGAGCGCTCCCGCTCCAGCTCCAGCTTCGTCTCCGGCTTCGGGTGAGAAGTACGAGGTGGCGGGGCGGGCGCGGCATTGAGCTTGGTGCGGCGGATGAGTGAGCTGAGGTAGTGGCTGCGGCGCTCGAGCTCCTCGGACACCGGATCCATAACGGCAGCGGTGGGGGAGGGGAAAACTCACCTGCGTCAGTAGTGGCCGCAGCGGCGGGCGAGCATGGCCGCGTTCGGCGGTGATTGTGGTCAAAGCACGGAGCACAGTGCTGCGCTGGCTTTGCGTCGTTTGTTTGGGCTCGGGAGGCGGGGATGGGACGAAAGACTAAGGGCGTGTGGTGTGTTTGGTTGCCCGCATAAGGTTCAACCAAGCCCGCGTGAGAAGGATTCGGTCTGTTTGATAGTCCGCATATATTATTAGGTCTGCATCGCACACTTCTTAAAGCATTTCTGGGACTGGCTCACTGGAAACGCACGAATCGGCAGTTTCTCCAGGGCCAGGCCCGAGCGGTGCACGTGAGCGGGCGCGACTGCACGCGCGCGGCCACGCTCGAGAAGTCGCGTTGCTTCCCGAAGTACCAGCAGTTATTAGCCTCACCGCCCCTCACCGCTCCCTCTCCCCACTCTTCCCCACTCCCCCAACTCTCATTGGCGGCGGCGGATCGGAGCAGAGGAAGAAGACCACCGGACTCCATCGCCGGCGGCGGCGGATCGGAGCAGAGGAATAAGACCACCAGACTCCATCAATGGCGGTAAGCACTTCTCTCTCTTCGACATGCACGCTTTATTCGATCCATGGCGGACGGGAATGGGGAATAGAGGTAGATAAGCATAGGGGTAATTCATACTGGTTCATAGCAGTTCATACGAATTCATACATGCAAGATCAAAACGCAGAAGGTGGATTTCGGGATTGGGGGATAGGGGAATAGGGGGATAGGGGGTACACAACAGACACCGGCTGACCGCGGCGGCTGTCACTGGCGTGCGGAGCGGCTGGTCGAGCCGCTGGCCATCATCTTCTTCTTCTTCGCCGTGCGGGCCGGCGGGTCATCCTCGTCGTCCTCGGCGGAGTTGAGGTCGATCTGCCAGGCAGGACGGACTGGCTCCGGCGCCCTAGCTGGCATGTGCACCGCCTCTTATTCCTCCTTAGGCTCCCCGCCGATGACCGCCGGCGGCGCAATAGTCGTCTCCCAGTACACTGCGGCACGGCGGTCATTAGGAGCCCAATAGGTCTTGTGCTTGCACCACTTCTTCCTCTCTTTAGCATCGTCAGAGACGGCCTGATTCATTGCCCAACGAATGATGTCAACTGCCATCGCGCCCTTCGCTGGGTCAGGAATCAGCGTCTGCAGCTCTTCTTTAGTGGCCTTCAAGAGCACAACATTAGATTCGTTCTGCATGTCCGGCATGGAGCCAAAGTTCGAGCACACCTCCATGGTGTTCCCGAACTTGGTGCGGTCACCAGCCGACCACCCGAGGAAGAAGGCCCTCCAGCCAATACCCCAAGGGAAGGGGTTGGCGTTGGAGCTGGAGCTAGAGCTCATGGCGATGGGGAGGAGGAACGTTAACAGTGAGAGAAGAGAGGGGGTGGGTAAGTAGTGGTGGGTAGGGTGAGTAAATATAGGGGGACTGGAGAGGAGGAGAAGAGTGACAGTCATGCCGTTTTAACTACAAGCTCTTGAATTACCCATGAACTCTGTGAAGTGTCTGACTCCATGAATTGTGTGCAAATTGAGGAGAGCAATGAGATGGGCACGGAGGTGCTCCCGGTCGTTGACAACAAGGGCATGCAGCCCCTTCACCCAATGCCCGACGAGGTTGAGCTGCCGCCCACCGTCGAGGAAGACCCGAAGATGCCTGAGGGTGGCGATGATGAGCGCATGGAGGAGCCCCCCAGCAACAAGCGCCGCAACTACGGCCATTACCATCAGGAGGATGGCCCAAACCACTTATGCAAGGTCATCCTTGCACCGAAGCTTGAGTGCATCCCCATCCCCCTGGACTTCACCAAGCACTTCTTCGCGGTGCCGACAGAGTTCAAGCTCAGGAACAACACCGGCTGCTCCTAGAAGGTGACGGTCAAGCTGATGAACGGCAGGGTGACCCTAGATCAGGGTTGGGCCAGCTAAGCAGCCGTTCATCAGATCAAGATCGGCTACATGGTGACGTTCAAGCTCCTCACTCCCGACACCCTCAAGGTCATCATCTTCGACGATGATGGCATTGAGGTCGTCAACAAGTGCGGGAAGCACGACGAAGCCTTCGCCGTCAAGGAGTAGGGCCGGGCCACCTCTTTCGAGCGTACTATCAAGTCTACTTTGAACATGTTTATGGTTTATGCGTTGAACTGTTATGAACTGTGGTACTGCTTATATCTGAATTATGCTAGTTGATGCTCTGTTTATACTCTGTTGTGCTTATGATCTGTGCTGCCGAAGTGTGGTGGTAACCTCACCAACTAGCCAAAGAGGTTACCACACATCAGGCCTTGCATACAACCAAACACCATGCCTTGGGTTTGTGCACTAACATGCAGGCAACCAAACACCAGGCAGTGTTGGTTCAGCCCATGCAAGTAAGAGGCCATGCAGGCAACCAAAAAACATGCATATGGTGCATTTGAGGCTGCATTTGCATAGCCAGGTTGGGTGGAGAAGTGTATGCAATGCATGTACTGTAGCGCACGGCAACCAAACACGCCCTAGGCCTCCTTCGCCATTTTTTCCGGCTCTACTTTTTGAGGTGGTGAGAATCGCCAATCTGACCCGGAAGCACGTCATGTAAAGTTATCTTGCATATGTTCGTTAGTAATAGATAATTTAAAATTCAAATAAAGTCCTATCACACTAGCGCCGGGTCGCATGCCCGATCACAATAAAAATGACAAGTATGCTTAGTTTTTACATACCCGATCATAAAAGAATATCAGTCCGACAGTCCATACAAACAAAAAATCTGTCCTGCCGAACAGGCGATCCGAGCCTCCACGTAGGCAGCCTCCTCCTCCTCCTCTTTTTTCGTGAATACGCAAAGCTTGCGTATCATTTCATTGATAGAAGAAAGAGAAATGAGTACAAAGGGGGTTACAAAACATGACATGAACGTAAAAATGCATGAGCATGGAACCCAGAGCAGAGAGACAAGGGATGCTCAATCCGAACAGGAAAAAGACACAACTAAACCCACCAAGCCTAGAACTAGGGAGGCAAGTCAAACTAGCAAGACATCAAACATCTTCAAATCCAACACCGGGGACGCCGCGAGTTAGCAAGATAGCTCCTTCAAGAAGGGAAACGACATCGTTACGCCGCTGCTTCCCGATCCGGAGAACTGGATCCAGGGTTTCCCCTGATACTCGTAGAGGGGCACGGATAAAGGTCATGGCAGCGCCTTCAGGAAGGGAAACGACACCCACAAGTGCTATCGCTGCCAGCATCGGCAAGCCGAGCAAGGATTTTGCCTGGCCTTAGTTCAAGCAATCCCATTGCCACCAGATTAGGATCCAAAGATGAAGAAGTTAGCACGGCAAACGACTGCCGCCACAGAAGGGGGCAAGGTGGGGCTGCACTTGCCACCACCGAAAAACTTAAACTTTGGAGCCGGCATGGCGTGTGGGTGGACGGGGTTGGAAAGGCAGCGGGCAGAGAGCCGATGCGGAGGGATGGTGGTGGCCGACGCTGCTAGCAAGCCAGGAACCGGAAGGGGACGCAGATCCGGGTTGTAAGAGACGTGGCTACTGGAACACCACAAGCCAACGTAGCTGGAAGGGATGCGGCTACCGGAGCGTCGAGGCCAAAAATCCACACCGGCGAGCGCCAACAGGCCACGGACACTAGAGAACGCAGGTTCATGGCCGTCGCGACCGGAGTGATGTCGACGGGGATCCACCGCAAAGCTTTGACCAATTTCCAAGAGAGATCACCATGACCAAACACGAGCAGAGGTCGCCACCGCCGCTCGAAGGAGGTGCCGTCGGAGACAAAGGGTGGTCTGCACCGGGGTAGGACCAAACCTCGGCCAGCCCAGCCAGCTACACCCAAAAGTAGCGTCCTTCTCCACCAAAACTGTATAGGGAGTCGCACTGCCGGGGAGAAGAGATGTGTCGGGGAGGAGCATCACGGGAGTGGCCGCGCCGCCGCATCAGACGGGCAGACGAACCGCAACAGTTAAAGGAGGTGCGTGACCACTGAGCGCCAGATCACACCAGCTCCAGGCGCGTAGCCGCCTCGCTGGTTGGCCCATCGATAGCGGCGTGGGAGGAGGCATTGGTGGAGGAGCCCCTGGCCAGATCGAGGGTTGGCGGGGATCTGGCGTGGGGGAGGAGGACGAGGTCGCCCCATCGTCACCATCTTTGGGCACGGCGCGGCTTCGTCGGCCAGCCCTCCGGCGGCAGCGTAGTGGGGGGCGATGGTGGAGGTGGCCTTCAAGCGGCGGCGAGGTCTTTCCCCCGTGTCGCCAGACGCGAGCGACGCAGGGGACGCGGCTCGGGGGATGCAGCTAGTTCATACGTATCTCCTCCTCCTTCTCCTTGCTCGTCGCCTTAAACTCATCTTTCTGCCCCTGCAACATTTTGTAGTGGGCGGCTTGCACGATCATTCTAGCATCGGCATCGAAAGACTCCAAATTCAAGGACAACATCTTAGCATCCTTCGCATGGGCAGCAATCTTCACCTTCTTTTCTTCGAGAATCATCTTCTTCTCTTCGAGCATGGCCCTCTTCTCTTCAAGCATGGTCTTCTTCTCTTCGAGCTTGAGCTTCTTCTCCATCGCATCCATCAACAATTTAAACCCCTCCCTTTTTTCCTCCTTGATGTCAGAGAGCTTGATGTATGCCTCCTCCTTCTTCAACAAGATATCCTCCAACCTCTCTGTCATCCTGGCCACCGCACCTTCTTGTGTGGTCCTCTCCTCCTCCCACTTCTTTCTCGGAACCCTCTTTTAACCTTCTTGGGCGATTCTTTTGTTGCGTAGGTTGGGCCACCGGTTTCTTCCTCGATGGCTTGGGCGGCGGCCTTGGCCATGTATATGCTCCACTTTGGTGGCCCATTCAAGTTCAACCAACAATGCATGACGGTGAAGTTTTTCTTCTCCAACTTCTTGAACACCGTACGTGCACGAGAAGGCTACAAAATAAAACATTGTCTACAATGCATATC